CGAGACGTTGGTTTGTTTGAAAAAACAAAAACTTATATAATATATTATTTGGACAACATCACATAAGTTGCTCTGATCTCAAAGTAAGTAGCTAAAACACTTGTATTATGGAAATCGAAAACAACGACAGTACCACAAACACCCAGATCCGTGACAATATAGAAAAGTTAGTTTTCTATACTGACCCGGCCAGGGGTCGAACCCGGGACCTCGAGATGGCGACACCATGAAAACCAGTGTGCAAGCTACTCGACCATGGAGGCCGTCAAATCGAATATCTATATATAATATGCGATTTAGAGCCGAGAAAATAGTCTTATTTCCAATATGTAACAATCGCAAAAAGATAAGTGTTTCGAGAGTGAAACCATTAGTTATGGTTGACGCCGTTGTTTTGTTTGAAGCCATCAAGTATATAACCAGAAATAGAGACGAAATGTCTTTTAATTTGTTTGAAAACTATTCTGCCAAATCATTACGGTGACAACTGAGCTCGGATTGGCCAGCCCTAATTCGAAACAGTCGACGGGTGTCGTCTATTGTTTCACTTCAAATCGATCAGTTAACATTGAGCTTTGCTATAATGGAAGAAAATTATATATATAATTACCGATGAAATTTGATTCCGTTTGTTTTGTAATTAGATCTTTCTCACGCCATCCAATGAAACAGCACGCCATAGTTAGAGATATTATCTTTATTACAATACAGAATATTTTTGGAATATACGGAGACGTACACATAGGTAAGTTGTTGACGCTGTACTATTTCAGCTTTCTAATTTGTAATTTCAGTGCAAACGAGTTGACATTTACAAGTGATATAAGGCCCTTCGCCTGGTGAGTTACCCCCTGGCAACTCATCAGCAACGGACAATGGATAGCCCTTATGTCGTCTCTATTTCTGGTTATATACTCGATGTTTGAACCCGAGACGTTAGCTTATTTAAATCCAAAAAAGAAAATAGTTCAGTTTATAATTATTATCCCAGCTGAATAAAATGTACAGTACAACTATATTCTATATAACTCTCGGCAATCTTCGGATTCCGAATGCACCCGAATTCAAATATCCATATTTAGTCATCATTAGATGTATCATCCCATTGACGACATCGGTAACCTAATGATTTGCGATGTGGGTGTTATATAATTAATATAATTGAGAGAGAGATGGGTGTAAGACCAATGTGTGATATGAATTTCTGAGTGGACTCCTTAGTTTGAGACCAGGTAATTAGTGTTGTTGTAAATATAGTGGTTGTCTAACACATTTCTTGTGATGTTGTTTGTAGGTGGGTAAAAATACCTTCTTCTCATATAAAGCAATTAATTTAACCTGTATATTAAGGTATCAGATTGCTAATGTTTTTTTATTTTTAAATATGTTAAGCTAATTGAGGCTATCGGCGCGAAGGGGATTTTTTTTTGTATTATCAAGTGACGTTGTATTAACAAATCGTGCCCCTATTGGTAAGCTACACATCTGTCCATAACAGTTGCAGTGCCACTCAGATCTTTAAATCGCATTGCCACTCAGATCTTTAAATCGCAAAGGTCTTAGGGGCACTGCCACTGCGCCTGTCACCTTGAGATATAAGATGACAAGTCCCATGTGCCTGTAATTTCACCACATTTATTTTTATTGATATAACCCACATTTTATTTTCTACGACGTTACTTTAAATGATACTAACGTACACAATTATTTTATATTTCGATGCTATATTCATGTATTAAAAAAATATTTATGAAACTATTTTTCCGGATTTAAATCGCGTATATTTGTGTTTTCAAACAAACCGACGTTTCGGGTCTTTTACAGGTCCCATGGTCACGATTCACTAGTAGTCAAAAGGGCCCGAAACGTCGGTTTGTTTGAAAAAACAAATATACGCGATTTAAATCCGGAAAAATAGTTTCATTTCTTATGTGTAACAATCGCGAAAACCTAAGAACTCGATAAATATTTTCTCTGTCAGTTGAAAGGGTGTTTGTGACAAAAACTAAAAACCGAGATAATCATGTTTAAAGAAACGAAAGGTAACTTCGTACTTTATCCACCTAGGAAAAAATTAAAATAGTGACAGATCGGTCTTTTTTACTGATCATGGCAGTATCATACCAAATTTTTTGAAAAAATGTCACATGCTTAAAAACTCAAACAATTTTCAGGCGGCAGTTTTACACATGAAAATAGCATCCAAATATATAATAATCGTGTACTTTACTAATATTTTCAGTAATATCGTAAAAAAAATTAAATTAAATGTGAGTTACATCACTTTTGCGCTGGTAGCCTCAATTATCTCGAAACATAGATATTTACTATACTAAGTACATGAACAATTTACTTGCAAAAGAAATAAAAAAGCGAATTAAAAACAGCCCTAAACGCCAAAAAAGCAATTCGACAAGCGAGAGGTATCTGTACGTTATCTTCTTGTTTTAGGAGCCTCTTGCAATACATAGACGAAGAGTTAATGCTCAGGTAAAACCACGGGATACTGCATGTATATAATGGTATCTATGTGATAGCTTTGCCTGTATACGTACATGTTTTTTTTATTTGTACAATTTTGTGTAATACCAACGCCATAATATTTTCACAGTTGAATAACTAAAATTATAGAACGCGTGCAACTATTTGGCCGCTGAATTAAAGAGTTACTGTTAGGGAAGTAGTGGCCTCTGTGCGCATTCTCCCGATGCAAAGTCACGATGAGGTCGACCATGGACACCCATATGATGCACATTCACTCTCGTCTTGAAAGAACAATGCCCAAGTTCCATTCAGTCTTGGACCAGCTAAAAAAGTTGATGACCATCAATGTAGATACAGAGTTTCATTTATATTTCCATATAAATACAAATGAAACTCCGTGTCTGCATTGATGGTCATCAGCGCGGCGGGCGCGTGTTTCAGTGTGGTAGGGTTCATATAAACTCATACATTCCAAAAATTCCGGGCCCGGAACGCTTCCGTGGCCGCCTCTATGTGGCCAGAACATTAAGATGTTGCCCGTTTGCAAGCAGCTAGTGATTGCAGTCTATCATAGACATATATCTAGATAGACACCGCAAGTACAGCAATTTGCATGAAAACCAAGCGTGACACATTTTTTGTATCCACTATGACGTCACAAGAACTATTTAGGGAAACCTCCTTCCACTTTAAATCGATTGATTGATTAATCGATTCTAAATAGAATAATGTTTGTTCAAGTATTTGTTGATTACAAGTAGTCGTAATATTAAAAGTAGAAAAATACTAGAATGAGATAGTTAAGTCCTTTATTAAAACTTGTTTTTAAAAAATGTTGATTACTTAAAAAAATTAAGACTTTAATTTTAATAACAAAAAAGTTATAGAACGTTTATGTAATATTGCTAAGATCATAATAATTATCGTCTCTTTGTTTTCAAAAACGACCAGAATCGAGAACAGTGTTGCCTTACGTATACATCACTAAATGTTAAATTTGGCCAAAAAATTTACAAGCGGCCGTAACACGAAACCGAATACGTTATACAAAAGCGCGCTTGTTCGATATTCATGGCGTATTAACAAAAGATCAAAAATATATCGCACCAAGCAAAAGCCGCAACTAAGTGTCTGTAACTTACATTGGGCACGCGAAATACGTACACTTGCGGCGTCTATCTAGATATATGTCTGTGCTGTCGATAAATATTTTATCGATTATTGACTGCATGTTGGTCACGCTTATGCCAAACTTGTTTCATTCGATTCATCATCGGCCCATTATTCGTTCAACTGCTGGGCACAGGTTCCTTTGAATTGTCAATTTTTGTAAGTTCATACATACATACATACACTGCATTTAGAACTATGTTAATTGAATCTTGTGGATACAGTTGTATTTCTAGGTATAACGTTAGATGCTAAATTGCAATGGGGTCCCCATATAAGTAAGTTATCAAAACGGCTCGGCTCTGCAGTGTACGCGACTAGATTGGTTTACTTCAGTTACTTTCACAGTCTAATGACATACGGCATTTCGCTTTGGGGTAATGCCGCCGATATCAATAGAATCTTTGTCCTGCAGAAACGTGCAGTTAGGGCAATTTACAATCTGGGCCCCAAAGTATCTTTGAGAGCTAAGTTTAAAGAAATTAACATTCTTACACTAGCCTCACAGTACATTTATGAAAATGTAATTTATGTTAAAAGGAATACTAATTTCTTTATGAAAAATAGTGACAGACATAACATTAATACGAGGAATAGAAATAAACTAGCTTTTCTTTAGCGAAACAAAAACTTTATACTAAAGGTTTATTATACAATTTCTGCGTACTTGGATGACAAAAATCCGTGGTAGTAACCCGTTTAGCTCATGGAGGTAGTCTCGATCTCTGATGTTTCAAATAAAAAAAAAATATTGTGAATGTTATTTACAAAGAGCAACCCCTAGAGTTTCTTGCTCATTCTTCTCAGGGGAATCTGCCTTACGAATGAGCGGTAGAGTAGAGAGAATGCTTACCTATGAAATAAAGATTATTTTGAATTTGAATTTTGAATTTGATTGTCTACTAAAAATACAAAGACGAGAATTTAGAACAAAAATATTTTAATTGAATATAGGTAATCAAATCTTGTTAAAATGTATATGAATAAAATTTTTTTTCTATATTAGCCATTCTATACTACCAACTGTCAAAACAAGAATGGAGAAGGCAATAACGTAACTAATCATTAGAACGTCGTAACTCACACAATTCAGACATTTTTGGCAAAATTTTACTTTCTTTCACAATTTATCAATAAATATATCGACAACTACTACATGACTATTTAAAATTTTGTGATACTGGCAACCCTGCAAATGTCATTTTACTTCATCTTCAAAAAAGACATAGGTTCGTATAGTATTGGCACACATCAAAGAGATGTTAATCCGAGTGCGGCCTGGTCGTTGCAAGCGTGCTATAATCATTTATTAAAAACAAAAAGTATTTTGCGATCTTGTAGTTCTGGCATGTAGCATGTAAATGTTTAGTTTTTAAATTGTATTGCTTCACAGCTTTGGCGGATTAGAATGAAAAAATAGTCCTTCCGGGTCTTTAAAAAAGAAACAATAAATAAAAATTTAGTTTTAGTTATTGTTAATTAATATACATAATGTAAAATTAAAAATAACATTTTTTAAATCATTTGTTTCCCCACCGACGCACCACTTGTTATTAAAATTAACACCAAAATAATGGTTTCAAATCTGTTCTGAGCATTTGTCCAACTAAGCAATAAACATAACATAACTGCCTACGTGGCCTCCGGGGAACGGACTGCCACGCAAAGGTCCCAGGTTCGATTCCCGGGCCGGGAGAAATATTTGTATGGCCTACATTTATTTCTCTCGTGAGTTTGGGTGTAATTTGTGGTTGTCTATGTATGTGTCCATGGCACCCGCGACACAGGGTTTCCCTAGTGCGGGGCTATGTTGATTGTGAGCGTTATTATGATTATGATTATGATTAACATAGCATAATAAATCAACGAGACGTAGAGCTTCTTGTGAAAGAGTGTTGCCAAGGAAGTACTGCCACCATACCTGCTTTCAAGCAGTAACATGAGCATTACTGCGTTCTGGTTTTGAAGGGTAAATGTGCTGGTGAAATTACTGGCACAATGACTTAACCATTTTGGCGCAGTGGGGCCCCTCAGGTCTTCGTGATTTACTACCAGACGCAGAACTTGTCCTTCCTGTAACTTGACAAAAAAAGATTCTCAGTTTTATTCGACGCCTGTCTAAAATCTAGACATACCTACCATTTTCTAGTATTTCCACTTCACGTCATGTTGCATGGTAAACGATTTGTACTGTAGAATCAATAACTAAATCCACCAGTCAAGAAAAATACCGTTTTTTAGTCACAATTGGGTTATGGTTGCAACTGCAAAATAGCTACTTTCATGCAGTTGGGTTGAATTTCTTCTTGACGATTACAACTGCTAGTTGGCATGACAAGTGAAGTTCATCGAGAGGCGAAAACGCCGACTGCATTGCAATTTTTCAATTGCCGTGCAGGCATCGCGACACATATGTATACACCCTAATATGAAAAATATATGAAACCTGCTTAAGACCAGTTACGACAGGTAGATAAACAAATTAGTTTTGCAAATCTTCAAATCAGAATTGGAACCAATCAATGCTTGTATAAATAAACACCAAAAGTAACCCCTGAATCCAAATTTGTGTCTAACAGCACAAGAAATACAGCTTCATTTTAATCGCACTTTACGCAGCTTAATACCGCTACTACAGAATCTACCAAAAATAGTGATAATTATTATTTTTTAACAGGGCAACACTACCGCTAACAGCCGACGTGGCATCAATGTCGTTAGCTGGCAACGCAGGCCTCTCCCACCACGACCAACATTTAAATCAATGTATTCAACTTAAACAAAATTTCTTAAATAATTCAACGGCGAATATTTATCAGAATCTAGCATCAAATTTCCAAAACCCAATATCAACATCTCGGGTGTCAATAGACGATCCGCTATGTCGGAAAATAGACGATATCATGTACGTAGACCATCAAGAAAGCGACGTCATTGTCAATACACCACAGACAAGGAATAGTAATTGCGAGTGTGGTCTCTGCCCAAAACCAGAAACAAGGGAAAACAATACTTTAAGTGATTTACAGAGGTCTGTCGCGTCAAGGTGTTCATGTGACGCTTGTAATTCAAACGGCGATATCTTAAGTTACTACAGGAATTGTTCAAACCAAAACTCCGACTCAGGCATCGTATACTGTGATATATGTAAAAAACAGAAAATATCAGTGTCTAACTTTAGGGCTTTGCAAATCACGAACAGGTTAAGAATATCAGAAGATAAGCTAGAAAATGGACAGTCCGACGATGATCTATGTAGAAAGATAGACATGAGCTTGAAGATGGATGAAAAGTACGAGCATAGGAAAAAACATAATAGGCATAATTCTGACTCGGTTACAGCTGGAATAGATTTAAGTCAATTCTGTCAGTGCGAGTTTGAGGGTAGTAAACGAAAGACGTCGTCTGTTGATGAGATTTTCAAAATGGTGGATGAAAATGGTAGGGAAGGCAAAGAGAAGGTTGAGGAGGAAGAAAAAGTCAGTCAGAGACAACGAAGCTTGTCGGATAGTCAGAGGGATAAAGCCAAAGTTGAAAGTAAAGGTGAGTTATTTTGTTCTAATTCTGTTATCATAAATTTGTTAAAAATTGCGTGTACATTTTGCTACATATCAAAATTAATCCCATGTCATAGAAAAGTTGAAATTTCAAGTATACCAATGATGAAATCATCTAAATCATAGGTTCCTACACATTTTATCTCATTTGTCACGTGCTAGAAATCTCCTTGGCATTCAGATGACATCAGGGGTTGTAAACTTTTAAATAGTTTGTTAATGATGAAACATAAATTAAATTCTTTTTGTCCCCAAAAAATGTATTTTACCAAAAGTAATAATTAAATATTAAGCAGAGTCGTCGCTTTCAGGATTGTATCATTCGATGATATTGGGCTTAACGGATTTTTTGCCGTAGTGCCACCCGTGAGAAACTTCCAGAACAATAAATACAGTAGAAGTTTTTAGTTTACGTGACACGTGCCCCAAAATTTATCTCGCGTAAAACGTCGAAAATCGTAGAAAAACATCTTATTTAGCTTTTTTGGAGTGCAAAAACGAGTGGCCCTTGTAATATTATCTATGGTGTTTTTTCGTATATATAATAAAGTACAAATAATAAATTTTAATTTTTACCAGTAAACTTTATACCGCTGCAATATGGTCGCTTCTTTTTTGGAGAACTAAGTAAGCATCTCGTATTCGTCGTCGTTCAGCTATTAACCGCTAGAAGGCAGCACATTGATTGAAATTTCATTATAAAATCAAAAAGTCGTACCTTGCAATAATAGGTATTCATGGTATTGAACTTTCAACGATATGCCAACAGGGTAAAGTTTAAATTATATTAACAGTCCAGATTTTTTTTTAATTTGAAATTACGACCAATCATTATCAAGATTTCATAGTGTTACAAATTATAAATGTCTCAGTTTTGACGACAGCGCTTCTGATAGTATTCGATGTTAAACGCACTTTCATTGTTTTTTCTTCCGTGGAGAAACTTATGAATGTATGTTGCAAAAACATCATGATATTCAATAAAATAAATAGTTTTAAACTTGTGTATGCCACAGCAAACGACACGCCTCCGGTGCCGCCACGTCGAGGTCGCGGACGCAGAACGCACACGCCGCCACGGCCGGCGCCCAATGGGTTGCCACCCACGCCCAAGGTGCATATGGGCGCTTGTTTCTCCAAGGTATGTCTAATATCATCGAGTATATAACCAGAAATAGATACGAAATGAAATGTCATTTAACCTTCCAGTGGTCGTATAAAATGATAAAAATAAGTATTTTATCTATATAAATGAAAATAAAAACATTATTTACTTATTATTTTTTTAATTTGTACTTATTAATCAAACATCCTACAAAAATTCAAAATTTTAGTCATATGACACAAAACAACGTTAAAAATCAAGAAAATAACAAAACAAGATGTAATTTTCTATCTAAATCGTTAATAGGCTCATCATAATTATTACTAAGATCAACTTTTTTAAGAGTAGGTACAGGGTCAAGAGCACGTCAACCTTGATACTTATGACTTAAATTCAACTCTGTGCCACTTACGATAAGTACGGTCCAAGTACAAAGTGTCAAGCTTGACGTGCTCTTGACTGTACTACGATAACCTACTCCTTATCATCATATCAATGGTTTGACATCATCAAAATCTTCATCTTCTGTTTCCGCCTCCTCTGCAAGCCTTTCTGATTCATCGTAACTCATTGTCTACAACAAATAGTCTAATAATAAATAATTGAATATAATGTTACATAAAATAATGTAATTTTGTAATATACGTAGATAGATAGTTATACACTTTATTGCTCACTCACAAGAACAAAAACAGTACATAGATAGCAATTAATGTAATCAGAACGGGATACGCAGAGATATGTAGTGTGCCAATAGCAAAATTTGAATTGTATAGATAGATAACAATTAACATTAATTTCATTAAATAATATAGTACAAATAACATGAAATACTCATCCAGGTTTCAATTTCATTCCATGAATTTTTTGGAACACGACCGGTCGCGCGCGGAATCTGAGACCGCAAACATAAATAAAGACACATGTGCGCTTGCGACGAATGTCCCAGGACTACTAACGAGAAGTACCACATCTCCTTGAGGATATTATGGTCGCGCAACCATCTATAGTTTATAGTTTTTGTAAAATTACTAAAATAAGGTCACTGCGGTCCCTGAGATCGCGCGCGACCACTGGAAGGTTAGTGTGTTGAAAACTATTCTGCCAGATCATTACTGTGACAACTGCGCTCCGATTGGCCAGCCCGAAATCGAAACAATAGACGGGCATCATCAATAGGTCAATTGTTTCACTTCAAATGGACCAGTTAGCATGAGCTTTGCTTGAAAATTGCAAAATTACATATTTAATTACTGATGAAAGGAGGTCCGCCAAATCCCATACAAAATTACCCCAGGCCCGGCGCCAAAATAATGTAACTCAATTTTTAGAGTAAAAATAGCAAAAATATTATATAGTTTCGGTATTGCTAAATTCACATGCTAACATTGTCTTTTTGCCCGTTGAATTTTAATAGGGGCTCTTTGTAAAATTATATTTTTTAGAGAAACGTCGTCATTTTTAGTTCATTAATCTTGTAATTAGTCATTATGCCGTATAAGCATGTATGTACTGTAAACTATGAAATGTCTACGACGTTGCCGTAATGATCGTGTACACAAAATACAAACGTCTGCCATTTCACAAGAAAATCAAAAGTCCGGGAGGGTTAAACAAAGTAAAATAAAGATCAAGGTAAGGTATCGCACAGTTCACAGTACACAACACAACAAACGTTAGCGTAGGACTGCGCGTGAGCAGAGCACGCCAAAGCAAAGCGGGCGTCTGCGTGTTTCTCCCTCTAAACCATTATATGTGAGCGAGACAATAAGATGTATCCAGTTGTGCCCTCACGTCACAGGTGCGTTCATCCGTGCGTGTTCATCCTTTCTTTGCCGATTGCTTGAAGGTCATGCGGCCATTAAGTAAAGTCGCGTAAAGCGATAATATAACAATACAAATATACTTTTTTTTAATTATTTGTTTGAACGTATTTGTTGTTGTACCTTTATGCGAATGTTGATATATTTATCATTATATAATACAAACAAAAAGCTAAAACTAAAACATTTGACTTGATTCTTCTATTTATTTATGGGAAGTTTATACTATTATTTTTTCTAAATAAAAATATAACTGCAAATGAAATATGTTTATATAATATGATTGATATACATGCTTATATGCCATAATTATTTATTATAATGTTAATGAACTAAAAAGGACGACGCTTCTCTAATAAATAGAATTTTTCATAAAGCGCCTATGAAAATTCAACAGGCAAAAAAACTATGTTATCATGTGAATTTAGCAATACCGAAACTATATAATATTATTGCTATTTTTACTCTAAAAACTGAGTTACATTATTTTGGCGCCGGGCCTGGGGTCATTTTGGCGGATCTCCTTTGATTCCGTTTGTTTCGTAATTTTTTTTTTATAATAAATAACGCACACACTCAACATAGCCCCCGCACTAGGGAAACCCTGTGTCGCGAGTGCCATGAACAGACACATAGATAACCACAAATTACACCCAAACTCACGAGAGAAATAATTGTAGGCCATACAAATATTTCTCCCGGCCCGGGAATCGAACCTAGGACCTCTGCGTGGCAATCCGGCATGGTCACTGAGGCAGTTAATTAGATGTTTTGCTGTTTTTCTTTACACCACCGAATGGAACAGCACGCCATTGTTAGAGATATTAACTTTATTATAATAAATACAGAATATTTTTGGAATATACGGAGACGTACACACAGGTCAGTTGTTGGCGCTGTGCTATTTCGGCTTTCTTACTTGTGATTTCAGCGCAAACGAGAGTTGGTGTAAAAGTGATGTATCACTGATGAATTACCAGGAATGCATGGCCTTTATTTCCTCTCTATTTCTGGTTATATACTCGATGTCTAACATGCTTTATACATTAAGAGTTTTCAAAGAAATATGTACTTTATTTTATTAGATATAATGTTCTCTATAAATAATGTTGCATTTTGCAAAGGGTGAGCAGCCTCGTTTCCTGCATCTTTTTTTTGACATTTCGTTCATTACATTATAGGATACTTATCGGGGAGTGTGCGCAGGAACTTTTCGATTTAGTTCCACACTTACCGTTCATCCTTCGGTCGACTAGAAGGTCTGGTACACTCCATCCTTATGTCGTTGATATACCACCCATTAGCACTAAGCGCTTTGCTTCCTCCTTCCTGTTGCATACGGCATAGCAATGGAATACTTCCATTCTATCTGTCTTTCCCGAAAACTGCAATTTGGGCCTATTCAAGGCTAGAGTGAATAGGCATTTTTTATACAAACGCGTACCATCGTAGCATCAGGGGATATCGTAGCCAAGCGTGTCTATTATTTATTAAAAAATAAAAATAATTCGGTCTTTGGCAATGATTTGCGCCTCTTTTTGTAGAATTTAAATCGGAAAACTAACAAGACCAGAAGTCTTTCACGGTCCGTTGCTTCGTTCCGTGACTTAGTTATACGCATAGCGTCTGGCACGGTTTGCTAGAAGACGTCGGTTCGAATACTGCCGGATCGAAGGAAGTTTTTTAAGTGTTCGATCTTTGTATTAATACATACATAAGCTCACGCCCTAGTCCCACAGGTGGGGTAGGCAGAGACCACGGAACGTCACTTTGCTCTATCCTGACACAACTCTCCAGCCTCACATACATCAACTAACTTTTTCAAACAACTTCTTTTATTCGTGTCACTTCGGATCTCAGCCTTTTTTGTATTAATAATTATAAATAAATGTATTTTCTTGTGTTGTACTAATTATCTTTATGTATCAAAACTGCACAGCATTGTATGTCAATTACCACTGTGTTTTCCTAACGCTATCATACATTTTTACGCAGGTGTTCAATGGATGTCCGCTACGGATAAATTGCACTGCTTCATGGATACATCCGGATACTAGAGATCAACATATACTTATTGGTAAGGATACATATTAAAAAAATAGTAAATTAATAAGGAACGCGCCTTTACGCCACTAGTTATAATAATACAAAAAATGATAATGACGACATTCGTTATATCTAGGTGCTGAAGAAGGAATATACACGTTAAATCTGAACGAGCTACATGAAACGGCGATGGACCAGCTGTGTCCGAGGCGGACGATATGGTTGCACGTTATCAAAGACGTGCTCATGTCACTCTCAGGTTTGTTGCATACCACTTTCAGAATAGGCATAAGAATAAATCGATTGCATAGTTGTTGTCTTTTTTAAAGGCGCAGTAAAATGATATTTCGGTGCCCTTCTTTCTCAAACTCTTATCTTAAAGCACAATTTTACTAAAATGCATAAAGTGGGTTGTATCGACTGTGAGCTGGCAACCGTTACTATTTAAATTTCTAAAGATTTCACTTTATTATACCATTTTATACTATTTCATACTCCGCAGCGTTGCAAGAAATTCCATTGTTTTTAATAACATGTGTACTTGGAACTTGATGCAACGGGCTGAATAGCATGTGTAATAAAAATAATTAAAAACGATATTTTTATTTAATAAATCAGCCCCGTAGCATGGCTACGCATGACAGACGCGACACGCGCGGTAAAATTGAAATAAGCGCGCGCTATTGACTATCTAAATTAGATCTGGTTGAGACAGCCAATAGCGCGCGCTTATTTCAATTTTATCGCGCGTGACGCGACTATCGTGCGTAGCCATGCTACGGGGGCAGATGCTAAATAAATGACGCAAACAAGGTTTTTCTTCATCCTGTAAAGGTGTCAAAATTGAGATAATACTGGTTGCTAGTTCACAGTCGATATACAAATTTTGCAGGCTGATTTCATAACACATTTCCTTCATATTCACAAATTGGCTTTTTCCTGTTCTTAAAGTAATGCATTGAAATTAAACCCCTTGATAAGAAATTTAAAACAAATAGAAAGTTTTGCCATCTCCTGAATAATAACTCTTTATAAGATACGAGTTTGAGAAAGTAAGGCATTGATTTATAATGTTGCCAGTTTCATTTAAATGCTTATGAACAGGTCACAGGCATTATTTGTGATCGGCGAATGCCCCTTAAGCTAAAGGGGAAAATTTGCAAGACCGTGATTAGACCTGTCATGTTGTATGGATCAGAATGTTGGGCGATGAAAAGGGAGGATGAACGAACTGTGCACGTTGTCGCGAATGTTGCACTAGAGCATAAAATCCTATTTTATGCAGCTTATACCCAGCTAAATACGAACTTTAAGAGCATGGGAAGTGAAAAATTAATTAAAAATAATGATCCTGTTAACAGTCTACCACTTGCAACATTATTTCATCTTTATCATTATCAAAATGGAGTCATAATAATGATAGCTAATAAATATACACAATTTTAATGAATGAAAATTGTACTCATTTTTTCGCCTAATGCTCAAACAAAATTATTACACAATATAAAATATTAAATTTGACCAACTTCTGCTGTCCCGATTTTTTCTTCCAATACAACAAAATGATCCTTATATGAAACTAAGCCTATTAGTATTAAAAAAAAACATATTGTTATGAAAAAACATTTTATTAAATTTGACCAAAATCTGCTATTCCGATTTTTTCTTCCAATACAATAAAATGATCCTTATATGAAACTAATTGGCATTGAAAAAAACATATTGTTTTGAAAAAACATTTTATTAAATTTGACCAACATCTGCTGTC